TTTTTTTTTTTTTTTTTTTGTTCGTCTTGTGTTTATCGGTTCTTTCATCTGTATGAATTTGTTTGTGTATTGTGTTGGTTTAATCGATTTTCAGGTAAGGTTCACGGATCTCTGGCTCGTGCTGGGAAGGTGAGAGGTCAAACTCCGAAAGTAGCGAAGCAGGACAAGAAGAAGAAACCCCGTGGGCGTGCACACAAGCGGATGCAATACAATCGCAGATTCGTCACTGCTGGTAAACAATCGTTGTTAAATTCATTTGTTTTTTCCAGTTTGTTGGCGGTCTAGAATATCTGATTTAGGTTTTTATTTTGTCAATACTGTATTCAATCACTATTTTACGGAGTATGGTAATTGTGTTATTTGCTAGATTACACTTAGCTGTGTATCAGGATCGTTATCTTGATCACATTGTTGTGATTTTTCTATTAGGATTTGAGAGGCATCATTCTAACGTGTGATTTAAATTTGTTTGATCATTATAGTGGTTGGCTTTGGAAAGAAGAGAGGACCCAACTCCTCTGAGAAGTAAGCAAACGGCGAAATCATGAGGAGATTTTCCGCTCGAGAGGCATGGTTTTGTGATTTATTAAGCTTTTTCCTCCTATTTCTCATAGATGTTTTAGTTTATTGAAGATTTTGACCGTGTTAAAGATACTTATTTCGACAATATATTAAGAGTAAATGTGACCTGGACCTGAATTTTTGCTAGTCAATTATTTTCTCTCTCAATTTTCATATTTTCCGTTGCTGGTTTTAAGCTATATGTCGTTGCATGCCTAGAGTTCTCTTGATGACATTATTTGTCTTCATTTAAGCTTCAAAAAGGGTTTAATCTTCTGCATTCTATGTCATATTTGCATCAACTATATGGAGGGTGGCAGTTCTTGATGATTTGGGTGCGGGAACAAATTTAGGTTTCTGATAAAATAACACAAGCTTCCCCAAATCTGGATTCAGTTTTTGTCATTAGGGCTTGAGGTAGAGGAATCCTCTACCCAAAGAAACTAGGAGGGTCCATAGTTAACGATCTTTAGGTTACTCTTAGAAATTACATGATGTAATTGCCCTAAGTCCCGGAGTTGAACGTTTGTAAGTCTAGGTTTTTGGTAGATTATTTTATATGTTCCATTCCGAAGACTCTCTTTCCTATTATATGATGCAAATTCTAGGTGTCGTATGGGGTTCCACCTTTGAAAATGCGGGAAAATGGACCTTAAAAAAAGGTCATTTGAGCTTCGAACTTTGTCAGTTGCATTGATTCCAAATGTGGGATTGTGTAAAATCCCTAATATACATTTGTGAACTCTGAGATTCGCTCGCTAGGGTTTCTAAACACAAAGGGTATAGGATATCATCATTTTTCTCCTAAATTGCATGCAGAATGAGAGAGCTTTGGAATGAGTTCTTTGCAAATGGTGGAAGAGTAGAGTTGTAGTTTTACCTGATGAATGCTTCATCATGACAAGTTCCATTAGAGAAGATTAAACCTTTTCTGCTTGAAAGAGGAAGATTCCTTCGTTCCCTTTTAGCTTCTTTCTTAATTTTCTTAATTCGCAAATATTTTTTAGTAAATTTATCTTTGGGGTGATATTTTTAATATCCCAAGTGTGGATATATATTGCATAATTATACAAATGTGAACCTCGTTCCTCCTATATGCTAAAATTTCAGGGCAGAATTTTCGTTCTTTATGCTTACACTATGCAGAGTATATTAATTTTGTATCTAATATGTTTATTTTTTTTGTGTGACAATGGAACCAACCCAATTGGATGAAAGTCAATCTCAAGTATGATGCCCTCTACAAAAACATGCTCCAAACTCTATCAAAAATTGTATTCATATATTCATAAGCATATTTATAGAGTGTCAAAGAAGAAGGTAAAAGGAATTGAATGTTATGTCAAATAATGAAACATAGGAGAAAAATTTAACCGAGTTTTTGTTCATATAACCATCTTACTAAATTTTAAAATAAGGTATTAATTGGTTTAGATTTAAGGGTTTTAAAGTCTTATTTTTAGACAAAAATATTAAGAGTTATTTATTTTCTCATTGAAATTAAAAAAAAAAAAAATTAACTGCCCGAATCATTTTATTTTTTAAATTTTAAGGGTATTATTATTTTTTAATCATTTTTTTTGTTAATACTTTGAAAACCGAATCAACAAAAAAACATCACAAACCAATGAAGACCTCAAATTTCATTAAAAAGAAAAAAGAAAAAAAAAATCCATCACAGTTCACCGTCTCAAAATTGAATGTAATTGTAATTTAGAGTGTTTTGTGGGACCCGAGGTTGATGCCCAATCAACTGTGACCGACGTGGATTCCGTCGACGCTGTAAAGGGCCAAGAAACTTCCTCTCTCTCCCACCCCTCACTGAAACAACACGCCTAAGCAAACACCGAATCCAATTCACCTCTCAATCAGATCTGCCCTTCTTCTTTAATCTCCATTTCTCCACACCGGCAGCTCTTCGATTTCCGATCATCAGTTCTAAGGTATATACTCTTTCATCACTTTTCTTGGATCCAATTCACCATCTGTTTCAATTCCGATTCTGACCTAATTTCACGAATTGACTTCTTCTCAGACGAGATATGACTGATTATTTCTTGCTGTTGTTCCAGAAGTTCGGAGGTCGGTTCGAATCGCTGATAATCCACCATGTCTATGTTCAATAAGCTTTTTGGTAAACCTAAACAGGAGTCTAATGCTCTGGCGACGCTTGACAAACTAAACGAGGTATCATGGCGGGTTCACTATCTTTCTTCCTATCCGCCTCACCCATTTGTTCATTAGGGGTTGCTGTCTTTTCGTGTTATCACTCTTTCAGGCTAAAAGGAATTCTTGTATGCTCTTTTCAGACACTGGAAATGCTCGAGAAGAAGGAGAACGTACTTCTGAAAAAGGCTGCCACAGAGGTTGAGAAGGCCAAAGATTATACCAGAGCAAAGAACAAGCGGGGTATGACTTACAAGAAATGCTAGCAGTTTATTATTGATTGAAGCATTTTGACATTAAGTACGCAAATTATTGAAGTATAATGCTAGTAAACTTGCTAACTTGTTGATAGTTAAGTTAAGAGTGGCATAGTAATGCAACACCTTAGGATTCAATGTACTTTTTCTTCTCTTTTGTTAGGGGTGGGAATTGAGAGGGCTTCGGATGTTGTTTATCTATACTTGTTTTCTTTGGTGCAAGTTCTGTTGTGTTGGACTTCTTTTGTTCAGTATCCACCCCTGTTGTCTTTTCCATCTTATGACCTTGTTCCATTGGAAATATTTTGAAAGTTAGATAGATGGTTTAGAATTTTCAGATGCCCTTATACGTAGAAAGTACTAAAATATTTTGTTAATTTCCCAATTTCTGAAACTGTGCCTATCAAGTTGGGTGCTTCAAGGCCACTGTTAGCAGATATTGTCCTCTTCGGGCTTTATCTTTTGGGTTTCCCCTCAAGGTTTTTAAAATGCATCTGCTAGGGAGAGGTTTCCACACCCTTATAAACTCATTTTCCTCCCCAGCCGATGTGAGATCTCACAATCCACCCCCCTTTGGGCATACAACGTTCTTGCTGGCACACCGCCTCGTGTCTACCCCCTTCTGAGCTCAACCTCTTTGCTGGCTCATCACCCGGTGTCTAACTCTGATACCATTTGTAACCGCTCAAGCCCACCGCTAGCAAATATTGTCCTCTTTGGTCTTTCTCATTCGGGCTTCCCATCAAGGTTTTTAAAACGCGTCTACTAGGGAAAGGTTTCCACATTCTTATGAAAGATGTTTTGTTCTCCTCCCCAACTGATGTGTGATCTCACAATCAGGTTTTAAGCATCCACATTGCTGTAAATGGTCATGCCTTGTTTTGGCCTTCCCTGCTTTTATTTCGATTTTCAACTTTTTTGTTAGTTGTGTTTGTCACTTATCCAAGTTGGGGATGTGTTTCATTTCCAATGTGGATGCAAGATAATCAGTTGTTTGTACTTGCTGATTTTGGGGTATCTGCGTTTTCTTTTTCACATCTCCCATCACAAATGTGTAGAAACCTGTCAACTTCTTATGTTTCAAGTGTCAATGCCTTGGACTATTTTATGATAGGATCGGTGTGTTTCTACCTTCGATTTTCAATCTTCCCACATTCAATTTGTAGTAGAAACAGTAGCTGGCAATGTGGCATCAACGTTAACTATTTTATTTTATAGCTGCTATACAATGTTTGAAGAGGAAGAGACTATACGAACAACAGATAGAGCAGCTCGGCAACTTCCAATTGCGGATTCATGATCAGGTTATCTTTGGTGTTATGTCTGATATGAGACTAGTTAGACATATCCAGGTTTCCTCGTGCTGCTTGTTTATGTAACTTCGTGTCACATAAATATTCGTGTCGCAGATGATATTATTAGAAGGAGCAAAAGCCACAACCGAGACGGTAGATGCATTGAGGACCGGGGCAGCTGCAATGAAAGCAATGCAGAAAGCAACGTGAGTACCACATTGTTTCAGTCTACTTTCATGATTTGAGTCTGTTCAAAAATTTCAATTCTCTTTCAATTAGCTTCTATGAAAGTGCAGTGCAAGGCTTTTAGATGACCAGGTTGATGATGATGGAGCTTGAAATATTCTCGTTTTGCAGGAATATCGATGATGTGGATAAAACAATGGATGAAATCAATGAACAAACTGAGAACATGAAACAGATCCAAGAAGCACTATCAAATCCAATTGGTGCTGCAGCCGATTTTGATGAGGTTTTTGTTCACATTTAGTTTGTCTTCTCATTTTTTCCTGCAATTTTATGAATTGATCATCTACTAAACACATCTTTGTTGTACGCACAGGATGAACTGGAAGCGGAACTCGAAGAGCTAGAAGGTGCTGAGTTGGAAGAGCAACTCCTTCAACCTGCAACAACTGCTCCTGTTGCTCCAATTCCTGTCCCTGCTGGCCGACAAACTGCTCGACCTGCTCCTCAGAAACGAACTGCTGAGGAAGATGAGCTGGCAGCTCTGCAAGCTGAGATGGCACTTTGATTTAGTCTCCGTTATGGTTTTGAAGCAAGGTTCTTGGGTTAATCTTGTGTTGAATTCTTTCCCTTTGTTAGCGTTGAAGGCCTTCTAGATTGTGCTGTATATTGATCTGATGATATGTACCCAAGTTTGCATCTGGGGCTCAAGCTGCCATGGCTAAGATGTTTGTATGAAATTTTGCAGGTGGCACTGCCTGATGGTATATCCAAAAGAGAGGCGATGTGAAGAATTGGGCCGAGGTTGTACCGATGATTTGAACATTTTTTGCTAAGTTCAGCAAAGCTTGATGAACAGGTTTCTTTGTGATAATACCAAATAATAATTCAGATTGAATTTAGGCCGTATATACTCTGTAAATGAATAAAACATTATTGTGGTTAGTATTATGGGTAAGTGTCTCAATTTCACAGATGCCATGTGTAATTTTAAGTTGCTTATTTGAAAATCTTTGGTGTTGAGTTTGAGTTTGTTAATTCTTGAATTTTCTAACACAAAATTAAAATTTTAAAGCTTAATTAGATACAAAATTCATTTTTATATATAATAGATCGATTGAAGTGAAGTTTTTGAATACCTTTGAAAGTTCTAGGACTAAGTAGTCCAACTTCAAATCTTATGAACTAAACTAAACCTATAATTAAATCAGTTTTTTCCTACGAATTTCACAGGAGTTCTATAAACTC